TGTGTGTGTGTGTGTGTGTGTGTGTGTGTGTGTGTGTGTGTGTGTGTGTGTTGGGGGGGTGACATGTGCTAAGAGAGAGCAGGACTGAGAGCCCCAGGGAAATGTGAAGACTTGTCTTCTCTTAGCAGGTGAAAGAGGAGGAAATCACAACACATGCACTGCCCCAGGGCAGAACAGAGGGCCCTGAGTATTTAGCACCTGAAGAGTGAGGAAAGACCGTTTTTTATACAGGAAGAAATGGGGTTGGATCCATGTCAGCAAATGTGACCTTCCCGAGGGCAAGCCTCCTCTTCTCCACATCTTAGAAGGACTGGCTGAGTCTTTCCCTCAGCAGAGTCAAGCCATTCCATCTCTTTTGTCTTTGAGCACACAGGACTGCTTGTGGCCTAATGTTGAGGACTTTAGAGACATTTCTAAACTTTATATTATTAAAAGCAATTCTTCAGAGTTCCAGTTCCTTTTGAGACTGGGGTGAAAGTCAGCCGTCATACGGCAGATGCAGACATGCTCTCGAGACCATGGGCCTAAAAGCTGTACATATGAAGAATTGAAATGAGCCAAGAGAGTTCATTTTGATGGCTGCATTTTTTTCCTTCATGGAGCTGCACTTGACTTTGTGCACACCCAGAGAGCTCCTCCATCATATTTTCAAGTGTTTGCACACACCGTGCACACTTACGATGATCTTCAAGGAAAGAAAGAGAGAGAGCTTCTGAATGATTTCTTGTTTCAAGGCCTGAAGCTCACAGGGCAGTTTTTTTCGTGGGATGTGACAGGTGCAGCTGCAATCAGGTGGTTGTTTCTCCATTTGGAGAGATCACAGACACCTGAACTCAGATCTCGGGAAGTGCTGACGGGTGAGGCAGGCTCCTGTGCCTTCATCCTTTTCTGTTCAACTCTATAAATCCTTACGGTTGGCAGCTGTTCCTGGGGACACAAATGGGAGATCACACAGAAAGTGAGCCCCTGTTCACATGAGACAGTGTGTACTATGATCTTCAGGAGGCAAGGACAGGGCACTGTGGGGCTCAGAGGAAGAGGGATCACACCTGAGGTGATAAGGTGACTTATGTAGAGGAACCAATGGGGCTTTCATGGGGGAGGGGTCAGCACTGGACAAGTGCACTGCACTCCTGCATCTGTGAGCAGTCCTGTTGGCTGGGAGGTGGTTGGCATCAGAAAAGGATGCAGATATCTGTTAACATGACCCATCAGAGCCAAGGCCTTTATTGTCGGGTGTGGGCGGGAAGAACAGTGGGGCTTCTGAGTAAATGGAGCCCTCTTCAGGTTATTTTGGGCAGAACAATGATGTGACCAAAGCAGACTCCAGAGGTCAGAATGAAGGCGTTGCAAAGCTGGTTGAGGTGGGGAGGTCAGGTAAGGTTTGAAGCTGCTAACTTCCAATGATGATGAGAGGGTGATGGCTGTGTGTGTGGGAATTGTGGGATTCAGAGATTCTGAGAATGAGGACTAGAGGTTGACGAGTCTGTGACAGGGCAGACTTGGAGCTGGGCTCCAGGGGACGGCACTGATCCTCCCGTAAGCATCAGTAGCATGTCTAGAGAAGGACTGGCTTGGGAAAGGTTCACTCCCAGCATGTGGATGTCAGGTCTGTAGGGCCATTGCTGGCAGCTGGAAGGAGAGGAAGCCAGATGAAGGCAGGTGTGGAGCAGGGGTCTTCTGCATGGAGTTGGCCCAGGAAAACTGGGAAGTGGGGAGAGCTGACTACAAGAGAACCAATTCCCTGGCAGCTGAGGAGGAGCTCTTGAGGGGAGCAGGGACGCAGTGGGGGATGAAAGAACAATGAGGCTGCAGGGGAACCGGTTATGGGGTTCACAGAGGCCACACAGTAGGGACAGTGGGAAAAGGAATTCAGGGTGAGATCCAGAGCCAGGCTCCAGCAGGAAGAGGATTCAGATCTCCCAGTGGAGGTGGAGCTCATTGAGGATGCTGGTTTAATGAGTTTTAGGCCATGGTGGGCAGAGGCTGCCACGTTTAAAGAAGACAGGAATCTGGGTGTACTGCACACTCCTGCGACACAGGAGGGTTGCACCAACTCCTTCTAGACAGGAAGACTTTGTCTCAAAAAAGTAAAAACAGTGAATCTGATGGTTTTTTCCATGGCATATTGAGGCATGGATCTAGGGGACAGGAGAGTAAAGGAGTCCTTAGTAGAGCTGGGTTAACAGGGAACTGACAAGGATGAGAACTGTCAGATGGTTTGGTCATGGTTTTGAGACGTTTGGTTTTTTGCTTTTTGTTTTTTTCTTTGATTTGACTTTAGTTATCCAAATGCTTGATATTTTACAATACAGCTTACTTTTGAGTGTACACAGACTAACAGCGCAGTGTAATGAATTGCTGAGCAAGCATCTCTCTGCTGAGAAGGAAACAGGAACCGGCCAGGAGCCTGGTTCACATTTCCCACTTCCCTTCTCTGAGACCGATCCCCATCTTGCTCCCACCTTCCCCTCCTTCCTCTCTTTCTTTAGCGTTCACCTCCAAAGTGTGCCTCCCTCCATGCTGTACTTCAGCACTGCATGGGGCTCACCATGAAATGCAGAGTTAGGTCTGTAACTCTTACATCTGGATCCTCAACTTCCCCTCTTTGAGGTTCATCCCATTCTAGCATGCAGTTGTCTGATGTGATTCTACACCTGGTGAGCCAGTGGGGGAGGGGAGCTAAGGCAAAGGGTAAGATAACGTGATAGTAGGGACAGTACCACATCAGAAGGGCAGAAAGGCTCCGCTTCACACAGGAAGACATCAATCACACAGGTCTCAGAGGCAAGATCGAAGATAGGGAGCTGGAGACCCTGGGAGATTATTTCACTGATGTTTGAAGTAGTCAAGGAAACGCTTGGTGAAGCTGGGGTCAGAGTCTGCTGTGGGCAGGAGGGAAGCAGAAGGGTTAGAGGCTGGAGAACAAAGCTTGAGAGGTTAGTGTTTAGACATCAAGGGTAACTAAGCATGGATGGATAGAAGGATCCTGTACTAAGGAAGACCAGATAGGAAGAAACTGAGGAAGCTTGGCTTATTTTGAGCTCCATGAATCAGGGGGACAAAGCAGATTGTCCCTCTTCTCCACCTAGCAGACCTGAGTGTTGTCATGGTATGACTTGGGGAATCATGGTGGAGCCAGTTGCTGAAGTGCCTTGGGCCTACCTACCTGAGTATATCAGGTGTGGCTGGCTGGCTCAGTGGGAATTGTTGGCTTGTTTTGTCTTCTCAGACCCATCCAACTCGCACAGCCTTGTCAAGTGTTGATATACACACATATTTTTGCTACCAAAGAATGCTTCCTGAATCAGTGGCAGTTTCCCCAAATAGAATAAGTGTGTATGTGGAGTTCAGGTCTAGAAGGTACAGGAGCAAGATACTCAATGACTCAGAACTGTTTTAAAACTCAAAGTGTCCTAACTGGTTGCTACAATAGCCTTCCTTTAAGGCGCATATTCTAATTAATATCAGTTGCTATTAAAAGATATGGTGACACCATTGCTGGTTTTCCAGAAGAGACCTCAAGAGCCAGAGGTTGCAGAAACTCCACAGTTAGCACTGCATATGAGTGTCATCTCTCTTCATTCCTGACGTCATGCTTACTCTGAGTTCCTCAGCAGAGCTGGTGTTGGGAAAGCAATAAATATCCTGCTTCCTTTTTAAAAATTCTGTGCCCTGGACATTGTCCCACAGGGACTAGTGGACTCTGGTTTTAGCATTTTTCCCTCTCTTGTTCCTCACATTGATTGATCTAAACAAACCGAATTCTTTGTTTCATTTCTTTTCCTACTTGTTTCTACTGTGGACTTCTTCTGACAGGTTAAATCATTGTGCAAGAAATGTATTTAGAGAAATGGAGCCAGGCAGAAAGGGAGGGAGACATACAGGGGGAAGATGGAAGAGGAAGTAGGAGGAGAAGTAGGAGGAGGAGGAAGAGAAGGAAGAAGAATAGGAAGGAGGAGGAGGAGGAGGAGGAGGAAGGAGGAGGAGGAGGAGGATTAGGACAAAGAGGACAAGGTCTAGGAGGAGGACAATGGTGACTATGATGACTAGGAATTGGAGAAGGAGGTCCATAAGTCCTAGAGGAGGGAATAAGAGTTGTGCAGAGATGAAAAGAATGGGAGAAGAGGAGAAGAGAGAGAGAAAGTGGAAGAGGTGGAGGGAGAGGGTCTAGGAGAGGAGAAGTGAAAGAGGAGGAAAGGACAGGGAAAGGGGGAGAGAAGAGGAGAGGAAGGTGGAGGCCGGGAGGAGACTCGGGGGCAGAACTGCTGACTGTGAGTCTGCTTTTTCTCATTCCAGAATTGCGGTTTTCACACCGCCACTTTGGATGGGAAGAAATATCATTCTGCCCACCGAGGGGTTCCCTCCCCATAAACAGGACACACCTCTCTTCTGTGTACAAGAGATCAGAGCCATGTTTGCAGGCGGGACTTAGAGCTGATAATTGCCCTCCTTTCTGGCCCACTTGCGAGTTCAGCCTCAGCACTCACCTTCCTAGAAGTCCATAGTGACCACGAGTCTAGGAAGCAGTGGGCGGTGGAAATGGTTTGCTCAGATTTGAAACCTGGTTATTTGATGCCTTTGGGGGTGCTGATCCTCCTTCCCACTCTCCTTTCCTGATATCTAAGGATACTAATACTAGGTACTTTACAGGCTGTTGAGAGAATAAAGGATTAGGACTGGGGTGTAGCTCAGGGGCAGAGTGTGAGCTCAGCATGCTTGAGGCCTGGACTCTATCCCCAGTAACTTGGGGAAAGAAGTAACCAACAAAGTATGGAGTCTATTAGCTTATTCGATGCTTATTAAATGTTACTTTGTTCTTCATCAATGACATATAAGGTAGATAAATTTATAGCAACTCATAAAAAAAGCGTTTAATTTAATTGGGGCTTGCTTAAGTTTGAGAGGTTTAGTCCATTACAGTCAATGTGGGGAGCCTGCTGGCATGCTGGCACACAGGCAGACATTGTGCTGGGGAAAAAGCTAAGAGTTCTACAGTTGGATCCACAGGCAGCAGGAAAAGGGAGACACTGGACTTGGCATAGGCTTCTGAGACCTCAAAGCCCACTGCTAGTGACATACTTCCTCCAAAAAGGCACATCTTGTATTCCTTCTCAAGTAGTACCAATGCCAGAAGACCAAGCGCTCAAATCTATGACCTATGAGGGCCATTCTCATTGAAACCGCAACAGTTAGCTATCTGAATAAAGGGGGAAAATTAAGCATATTTGATTCTGGAATTTTGCCTAGAAAGTAGATCTCACCTGCCTAGGAGGTGGTTTCTTCTCCCAGACTGTGTCCGTGACAACACAGTTAGTTTGATCAGATCTCAAAGCATCAGATCAGTGAGATTCTGGCACTTTATTCCACATCAGCCTGGACTTTTCCATTCAGTTTGGATTCAGAGGAAACACAGCAACACAGTGAGTGTACCAAAACACTACCCCATAAAATATGTAAGAGCCAGGAACGCAGCTGCAGAGACCCAAGAAAGGCTAACATCCTGGGATCAAAGTGCTAGTTCCAAGAGGCAGAGCTCCGGTGTGTGTGTACGTGCTATCCTATATACGAGTGTGATGTATGTATCTATCTGTGTATATGTTCAACCTGTGTCATGTATGTTCACTGGTATGTATGGATGGCATGCTAGGCTCATTCACAGAGCCCAGAGGAAGGTGCTGGTGTGTCCTCTATTAATGAAGCTTATTTCAGGGTAGAACAGTATATTAGGAGTTCATAGAGACTGGAAATTGATTCTGTTTGGTGGTATATTTGCTACCAGGTTAAAATGATATTTTCTGGCCAGAAACCAGGATGGCTGTGAGGGCCCAGTGCACCCACTGCTGCTCTACCTCGTCTGCCTCACGGTGCCCAGAGGACCGGTGGTAATGCCAACACTCACAACCAGCTGTAGAGCGAGGAAGGACACAAGCCTGCATGCCTGACTCTGCTCCAAGGGCTTCTGCAAGAGACTAAAGTTTGTTAAGAAGGAAGACACAGAGCTTGAACCTAACTGATGACGTGGAAAGTGAAGTTTCTGACTCGGGTGAGCTTGCTTTTCGGTTGACTGTAAGCCCGGATGAGGCTTACCGCCACCGTGCAGTTTCAGGTAGAAACGGAAGTTCCTGGTGCAGACAGCACAGTGTCTCCCTCGGTGAGACTCTTGCCAATAGCCTGGTACCCAGCACCATGGAAACTGGGGAAAGATGTCAGAGCTCTCAAGCGAACATCCTACTGATGGCACTGGCTGGGCTCCCACCGGAACCAGAGACGGTGCTGTTTGGGCTTAAACTCTTCACGCCTTGTTCTTTTGGGGTTTTATGGTCACTGAGTGTTGAAGCTCCAGATCACACGCGGGATGAGGACTTCCGGAATGAAGTGGACACCTCACAAGCTCCGCGGGACAAGAGGAAAAGACCGCAGCTCTGTGGATGGTGTCACCACTGTCTAATGTAGAACAGCACAGGGGAGCCCTCCTCCCCGCCTCATATTCGTGCCAGCGCCTCCAGATCGTCCAGACCCGCAACCCTCTTGTCCTGATGACCATCCTCCTGACTGCACTGTGGCCACCCAACAACACACCACGACAGTCTATCTGGCCTAGAGAGTCTGCTTGCCTGAACATGTTTCTTTGAAGTCTGGAATTGCTCTGAGTCTGTAATGACCTCATCACTGAGGGTGGTGCTGCTCCTGTCCGCCCACCAACAAAATTGGGGTCCTGCGAAGGGATAGCAGGGCAAATTCACTGCCTGCGGCAGACCTGCTAAGGCTCTCACCATGAGCTGTGATTGGGTGCACTTCGCTGCTTCTGCTAATGCTGGCCTTTCCTAGACAGGAAGTTCCCCAGAACACGACGTCATTCCCCAGGGAGTTCACAGGAACTCATGTTTTATTTATTAATGTAAGTGGATTTTAAGCAGATTTGTAATTTCTAAAAAAAAATGTGTTATTTAATTCTACAATAAAAGTTAACTTCTGTATCATGCTCTTGAGTCTTTGATCGGGCGTCACATAAACACGTTAAGTGAGGATGTGACTGTCGGCAAATGGAGCTGGGGAGGAGCTGGAGGGCAGCCTTGTCCTGCTTATTTTCTTTTCCCTCTTCCTGTTTTTCACTTTCCCTTTTCTGTCTTTTTGAGGTTTTTGTTTATTGTTTGTTTGTTTGTTTGTTTTAATGTGACTGGATCTCAATGTGAAGCAATGTATGGCCTAGAAGTCATTTCCAGACTGCCCTAGAACTTACAAAGATCCACCTGCTTCTGCCTCCTGAGTATTGGGATTACAACTTTTGATTCATATGACTGTAAATTTTAAAACTTATTCTCTGACATTGTCCTCTATGTCTGTAATGCATCTCAATCATATTTACTCCTCGCTGACTTCTTGTATCCTCCTCCAGCTCCTTCCAGAAGCCCTGTTCCCAAAGCCTCTTCCCCATCTTCATGTTCTGAAAACCTATGTTTATTTACTCTGTGTGAGAGAGAGACAGAGACACAGAGACAGACAGAGAGAACGTTAGAGGCTCTGCTGAGTTCGGGATAACTTACAGGAACTCAGCTTCCACCATGTGGGGTCCTAGGATTAAACTGTGTCAGGCTTGTTGGTAAGGGTCTTGTTCCCTGCCCCATTATCTCTTTTGAACAAGCCGCTCACTGAGTCTAACCAGGGTTTCTGGCATGTGCATGTTTGTGGGATCCTCTTGGATCCTGGCAACTCCCCAGTCTGCATACCCTAAGGAAAAATGACTACCCCCCCCCCAGCGCGGAACAGTTGATTACGAATAGCTACTCAGCTGGGGTGGACTGGAGCACTAGTCCCATGCATGCTGGGACACAGAAGGCTCCACCTGGAGAAGCTTTAGTGGAGGTAACCACAGCTGCTGGGCTTTCCTCAGTGCAATGGCCTTGTCCTGTCCAGAAGGGAGGTTCCCAGCCTCTGTGTCATTTTACACCATGCCCCCTGAGCAGTGAGGTAGAGGGGTGTGTGTGTGTGTGTGTGTGTGTGTGTGTGTGTGTGTGTGTGTGTGTG